TGTCCTGTGAACGTTCCATGAACACCTCCCCACTTTAGGAGTTGGTGGGATGAGGGACCTTCAGCTGCAGGCTTTATGATGCCTGCAGTAAAGTCTGAGGTTGAGCGGGTCAGACGTGCAGTTAGAGCACCACAGAAAATCTGTAAATCTGCCACTCCAACAGCCCTACAAGCTTCTCCTCATGTAAAAGTTATGAGTCAGTTAGTAAGGCGGCGATAAAGCACACCAGGATGGATATTTAACATTCGCTCCACACACGCCTCCTCCTCATCACACTTCCAGGAGGAAATGGACCAAGGTCAGACGACAAGGCACAAGCAGAAGATTCATTCTCTCTTACGTCCAATAAACAAAGACATTAGTCCATCAGGGGAATAACACAGAATTTGTTGACTTGAAAACCTGCAGCTGTGAGGCAACGTGACCATTTTTATCTGGGTTCCTTCTACCTAATTTCCCTTCAAGCGCTTCTGCTTGGTAAACTTGGGCAAAGAGAAGGAATGAACTACTGACTGATCTCTTTCTTATTTCCTATTAATGAGACATGTGATGTTTTCAGACTGTAAACGGTTCAAATGCACACAGATGGATCCATCCTGCAAACCCAAAGGCTTCTCCTCTCATCACAAATAAAACTTGTTCCTGCAATGACATGAAAGCTAAAAAGAGGTTCAGGTCAATTCATTAAAATCCCAATAAACAGGCACAGGTAATAAAATGCATAGTTGAACGCATGATGATTAAAATCTGGATGAAAAAAAAGGAAAATTACAGAACAACAGGTTCCAATATGGAAATATTTATGCCTCGTTTAGAAGAAACATTCATACATAAAAATAAGAAGATATATTTAATCTCTGCATTATTTAATATTAAGGTGTTAAACTACTGAAGAGTTTAGAAATACAGTGCAGTTTTAGCCGCTATCTTAAAAAATCCCCAGAAACAGTAGGATGACGTTCACAGTACCACATTAATAGATAATATTAGTAGAACCAGAAGTTATAAACCTCATAAAGCAACACAATAAGTTAATTATTTATAAATTATATTAGTGTTTGTGGTTGATGACAACTGTTACAGGAAAGCTAACAATGTCATTTTTTTTTTTTTTTATTTAAAGAAAGCATTTGACAGAATTGATCACAGTTTATTATCAAGGTAATTCCATTATTCTAGTGTAGGGGTCGTTCTAGAGTGAATAAAGAACTATTCAGGTAGCTGACAACAGTATGTAAAATGAGTGATTATCAGTCATCATGCATGGACATTGCTTCCTCCAAATTCTGAAACACTACATTGTCTACATCTGTGTCCATGTGTGCCGCTAACTGAAACACACGTTCAGTCAGAGCGTCCAAACGAAAAATAATAAAGTCAATACTTCTAACATTACATTGTTTTCAAAAACAGTTGCGGAATGCCTCAGCTTACTGATAACTTCATCGTAACTGCCCATCTTTGTTGTGACCGTGGCCGGTGGCATGTAGATTCGACGGATGCAGTAAAATGCTAACCAACCAATGGGCAGCAGTTGAGTCCCCTCCTCATTTGCATAATGAGGCAGAAATGCAGACAGAAATGTAAAAACCACAGGCAGAAATGAATAGCGGCGAAGAAATAACTAGGGTAGAAAAATACAAAGGAAGAATAGAACAGACAAAAATATTATAGCATGCACATAAATAAATACTTAAAAATATAAGTAATTAAAAAATAAAGTTGAAGATTATAAAAGAAAAAAAACAGTATAATTAAATTTCTACTTAGATTTATTTGTTTATTGTATTTTTGGTGGCAACTAATTCTATGCTTATTTATTTATTGAGCATTTATTTATTTCTGTATTTATTTTATATATTGCAGAGTCAGTCCTCCATAGTAGAGGTGTAATATGTAGATGAAATCAAATTCTTATGCGAATTATCGACTATAAGATCTGCTAGAAGCTTCACATTAAACATGTCCAGATTAAATTATTTAGATGCATTGTAATTCCCAGAGAAGCAGAAAATTTTCTGAACTATAAAGCATTTCACATTTTTTCCTGATAACTGATTTAACCATATCTGAGCTGTTGTGTCTGATATAACCCCTACAGGACATCCCTCAAACTACTATGCACGCTGCAGAAGAACGCTGTCAGGATAATTCATCAGGCTGGCAGTCATGACCACATTAATCCAATATTCATTCATCCCTTGCTTATATTCTCTGATTTGTTTAAACCTCTTAACTAATGCATAAAACTAGAAATAACAGATACCAGACAGCATACAAAACCTGTTTGTTGAGAGAGGGAGGGTATAATTCCTGAGACAATCTAAATTTTTAAATCTTACATGCATTTCAATAAATGGTGCTGAATTAAATCTGTGTCTAAGCAGGAGACTGAATAGGAAAAGGTTCAAACTGGTTTTCCTAAAACGATATCAGTGGGTACTCTAGATACTGTAATGCAGAGGTATCCAACACGATGCCCGTAGGGCACCAAGGGGCCCTCAGAGGGCCCTTAAGGACCATTAGGGTCTCCTTAAAACAGAACACAACAGAACAACCACATCTGGAGTTTTACTTCATTCTGTTTTCAATAATTTATACACTATTTGATCATATTAATCATATCGAGCATTTAAGCATTTATAGAGATTTCAAAATGACATCTAAAAAAATAGAATTGAAAAGAAACAATAAAAATATATTTATATTAAAAAGCTTGGTAACCTCTGCTGTATGGTGTATGCATATTTTTTTGCAATGTTCTGTGAGCTTTGAGTAATAATAGCATGAATAAAGAATAAATGTGTATATGTTTATATGTACAAAAAGTTATTTATTTGCTCAGCTGATGGATTTTTGAAGCAGTATGGACTAGTATGTTAAACAGGAATCTGGAATATTGCTGGTGTTATGGATTAGATGAAGGAGAAGGGGAATAATTAAACAAATTTTTCTTGTTTTCAGACAAAGCAATAAATTATACATTACATGACAATTATATCACATTAATTATAATATTTGCATATGGAATTTGTATTTTTTTTGTTGATTTGATTCTTTACTGCTTTTTTAGTAGTCTGTTTAACATAAAGTCTTTAATTAATTAATTTGTTTGTTCATTCATTCATTCATTCCTTCATTCCTTCATTCATTCATTAAATGATTTTGTAATTTGAAAACTATCAAATCAGAAGCCAAAAAGAAGCTAAAACAAACCCAACAAAGCCTCTTATAAAAGGTAATCATCCTTGACGTTTCTTAGAACCTCGTCTTTTGTCCTGTTCTTATATTATAAATTCAGTTAATAAAATTGCACACATCAAATGATATATCTGTGTTTTCTATTAAATAAAATTGTAACCTTGATTGATTGGTTTAATTTAAATAGCAATAATTTACACATGTTCAGAAGCATAAAAAAGTAAATTAATTGATGGTACATTGGATATGAGTTACTATGGCTCATTTTCTATTGAATAGTGCAACTTTAAACAACCAAAGATTTATGTTTGAAATCAGCACAGAAAATATGAAAGAGGCAGGCAGGTTTTGCACTTACTATGTCTCAATAGTAGCAGTAGATGTATCATATGTTACGAGTTCATTAAGCAAAAACCTTTTCTGTTAAAATGCATAACTGACTTGATGAATGATAAACAATGTGGGGATCCAAAGGAGCCTGTAATATATTTGGCTACTTTAAATGTGCTGGTTTTCTTTTTAATCGCTGTCAGGTGATGATAGAGCAGGTATTTAAAGCGGTTCATTCTGTACACACTTCCCTTTTGCTTGTAGATAGCTCTTCTCCAGCAGCTCTAGGAGGTTTGTAACCCAACCAATCAGAACAAGGTTTTCCCAGGCAGAAATGCTGGAATTTGCTTTGACTTTGGACCAGATCAATAATATTAATCAATAATTACCATCTCCGCCTGATCAGCTCGCCTTGCAGGTGTTCTGGTCACTTGCTGGTCCGGACCAGCAACTCACCCAGCTCTAATAAATCAACATGAGCACCCCACCCAGCCCCGCTTATTCCACCTTAATCATACAGCCTGCTTCTTTCTCTGTTTTAATAAACTTAATGTTTCCAAAAAAGCCCAGGAATGTGTTTTTGCTCTCAGCTTGAAGTCAAAACTTTAAAACTAGAGATGTTCTGCAGAAAAAATGTTGATGAAATCGATGCTGGAACATTTGGGGTTTTGGTTAAAGCACATAATGTCTGTAAGAAGTCAGTGAATAAAAACAATCCCTCTACTTCCTTTACCTTTAATGTCCAGAAACAACACAAAGATTTAAAGGAACATTAAATTAATCATAAGAATCAATTTTTATCACAGGGCCGCTGGGTTGCACCTCTGCTAACACAGCCAGAAAACAACATCCTGGTCGAGATCTTTCGAGATGGAGTAAGCATCATCTTCCTGTTGCATGCTCGGTTTAGCTCTACTTCAGCTTCCCCCAAAACAAGACATTTGGGTTAACTGGTCTCTTTAAATTTCCCTCTGGTGTGAATGTGTGTGGTTGTCCATTCTGTGTGTCTCTATGAAGTACTGGAGGCTAGGGCTGAAACAATTAATTCGATCAATCAGGATTAATCTTCTTTAAGGAACCTTTGGATATCTGATTATTAATTGAAAAAAAGTGTAAATATTAATTGTTTTGCAAAATAATTGTTAGTTGTAGCCCTATTGGAGACAGTCCCTGTGTACACTGCTGGACAAAACCTATGATTATTGCACTTGGTTCTGTTAATGGAAGGATAGTTTAACCAGCAACCAAAGAACATTTCTTCTCTTATGGTTGTAGTTTATGTTGTTGCCAATAGATGGCACTAAACCTAACAAAGTAACCCTTTAATGATCCTGTGGTCGGAGTATTGGCAGCGTAGGCAGTATGGTTTCACCAGGAACCTTCTGTATTCTTCATTTAGAACCTTCAATAAGTTTCTACATGAGTTCTAAGGAGATGACATTTGACTTCTGTGTTCTGTCAATACTCACTGCTGGGCTCCACGTTCTCACACAGCTCTGTTTTGGCCTCTCCGTTGGGCCGGTCACTGGCCTTGTGGGAGAGCCGGGTCGACATGGTGGCGGCGGTGACCACAGCCTTGAAGGATCGTTTCCTCTTCTGCACGTTGAGCTCAGGGTGGAAGATGATGATGTAGACTTTGGGCATGTAGAGCAGGCCGAGGGCGACAGAGGCGCTCAGGTTCATGGAGATGGTGAGCGTGGTGGTCTGAATGTAGAGCTGGGGAGCAGAAAGCAGAGGTTTAGCAGCTGGACAAAGCCTCTTAGTCATGAGAGAGTTAATATTCTTATGAGACAGTGAGTTAGTTTAAAAGCCTCAGTTATTGTTGCTTCCAACACCAGACACAGAAAAGCAGCTTGGGAATGCTTTGAACAGAGAAAGAACCAGATCAGACACAGAATAACATGTGGACTGGTTCTGTGAGCAGATGTCGGGTCTATTTTTTTATCTTCCTGCGGGTTTTGGACCCTCACCTACAGCAGAGACCCACAGCTGGCTCAGACGCTCCATTAATGTTTTATGCTCTGTGTATATTGGCCCTGCACCCAGAGCTGTGGCCCGCTGAACCCAATCGAGCGCCGGTACGGGTCTGATATGAATGCATAAAGAGGCCCATAATGGGCTTCCCTGCGTGGCTTTCTGAGTGCAGCCCGACTGTCTTTATGCGTTATGGCCATGCTGTCAGACTCTGATGTATGCTGCCTATTGAGAGGAGACACTGGAGGCTGTGGGGTGGGCTGAAGACCACTCACTATGTTAAAAAGAAAGTGCTCACATTAAAATCATGTTTATATCATTTTACTGTGGTTTAGTTATTCAGAACCCTCCCAGGTCTGACTCATATCCACTCATACCGCCACATTCAGACCATCATTATGAGGAAATGGTCTGATCAAAGTCACATCATCAGTTAGAGACTCAAGGATTATTCTGTTTTTAGCTTTTATTGAGGAAACATTCATCGCTGAGCAGCAGCAGATTCCTACACTGTGCTTTATTTACTTTTCAGATTTCCACCTCATCCATGAGGTTCTTTGCTTCTAATCCATTTTAAATCCTGTATTAGTAAGGAGAGTAAAAGCTGGTTTAAAATGATGAATGTCAAGCAACAGAAGAACAATTAAGCCAGCGCACATAGTCAGAGCATTTAATGCTGATGATTTTTGGTTGCTTTAATGATATCATGAAATAGACAGAGCCGAGTTGAAGTATTCACTCCCTACAGATTTCCTCTTTTTTTTTTGTCATATTTTTACTGGGAGTTATTTTCCAGAAAAGGGTCAGGTTGGATGGAATTGTTTTGTTTTTTTTATTTTATCAGGTTATCCTGTTTTCATGTTCAAACTAAGGTGTTCAGTGGGACAAAAACATCTGTAATTCAATTCAATTTGTTTATATAGCGCCAATTCACAACACAAGTCATCTCAAGGCACTTTACAGTTCAACCAGATCATACAGTCAAATTGATTCAAAGTTTTATATCTAAGGAAAACCAGTTGAATGCAATCTCTCACACTAAGCATGCTTGTAGCGACAGTGGAGAGGAAAAACTCCATTTTAACAGGAAGAAACCTCCAGCAGAACCAGGCTCAGTGTGAGCGGCCATCTGCCGAGGCCGACTGGGGTTCAAGGAGACGTAGAAAAAGCAGCAGAGATACAAAATGCAACTGTAAATGGCGGCCCGGTCCAAGAAAAACACAGCCAGGCAGTGTGAGGGATTGCCTTCGAGTAAATGAGGCGATGCAATCAGATGATTTTCCTTAGATAGAAAACTTTGAATCAATTTGACTTTATGATCTGGTGAACTGTAAATTGCCTTGAGATGACGTGTTGTGAATTGGCGCTATATAAATAAACTGAATTGAATTGGATGGATGGAGAATAACTATTTGTGTTTCTATGTGTGTGAAAAAGCAGCAAAAGCATTTTTATTTCGGGAGGGACTCTCTAAGCGATTCTAATCTCACAGAGCATCGATGAGGACGACAGAGAATGGGAGAGGCAGCAGCAGACACAGAGATCCTCCTGATAGGACAGAGGGAGTTTTCAGGCTGGAGATGGAGCTTCCAACTCCATCACAGGTCAAGTGGATCGTTTATCTTTTTAAGCTGAGCTGAGCTCTAATGTGAGTCACACAGTCTGCTGTCTTAAAGAAAGAGAATGAGAGGAGAAGGTCAAAAACACAAGCTCAGATTTGACCAACCAGCCCAGAAACAATTACAGCTGCTCCAACAAGATTTGATAGCCCTATGTGATGGACTGTCTGGATAATGTCTCATTTGTGGAATCCTCTCTGACCGACATTTTCTGACCACCCACTCCTGTCCTCGCAGCCACCTGCTACCGATGCTGATCAAGGTCTAAGCTGGTGGAATTAGGAGGCTAAGAACATTATAACCCAACAATAATGAGCCAAAACCACACCAGGGAGGACATTCTGTGTGGGTTCACTGAAAAAAACAGATATTATATACTCCTGGAAACAGAAGGCAAGAGAGGTGGAGCGCCATAATAAAGAAGAGCAGATTGGAACATCGGAATAAAGTTGTACTTTTGTTCAGAAGCAGATGAACATAAAAAAACGGATTACTGTATGTGTCCGATACAGAGACAGCAAGAGTTCTGTTAAAAAAACAAAAATTTCATGGTTTTGTTGATGCTTAGCAGATATAAGGTAATGGTTCAGCAGAGGGAATGCTGCTGCAGGTCAGCAGGAGGAGCTTGGCTCAGTTCAGAGGCCAGCTGAACATATGGAGGAACCTGTGTTCTCTGACCTACATCCACTCTACAGCTCTGGCTAATGCTGCACACCGCATGCATATGCATATGTATGCATCTGTGGTAAGAAAGGTCCAGCTCGGTTTTTGGCTACAAATAGGGGAAATCTGTCATGTTGAAGCCCATGTTAGGGTCCGTCTGCATCAGTCCTGCAGAGATTCTATTATCAAGATATGCGCTTTTTAAGGAAAATAAGCAGGATGCTTTTCCATGTTGTCAGAGACATTTTGGCCGTTTCTCAATATGTGTACTTGTGCGTTCTCATATGCTTGTGTTCTAATTCATAAGAACAGCAGACCGAGAACCCGAGAACGGACAAAGTCCCCGGATGTTGTTCTCGTCACTCCCTATTTACCAAGTGCATCAGAGCACAATTGTCCGTTCTAGAGATTGACAGCTGTCCCAGCATGCATTGCGGCAGCAGCAGCTTTTAATGGAGCACTCACAGATCTCAGTCTTAAATTAAAAGTTCTCTTTTCTGTTGCTGTTGTTAAATAAAAGTATGTTTTAAGTTCATTTGAGGCAAGAATATTATACTTTTAAAGCGCCACTATATGGTCAATTTACTGCGTAATTAAAAAAACAAATTTTGAAGCTGAGAGGACCGCAGCAACCAGCGGACCTCCGAGGGTAACGGCAGCCAGGGCTAACCTTAGCCCATCTGCAGAAGCCCTCTCTCGGCATAGCCGTGTGTGAAGTACCACTGGCTCTGATGGCAATTTTTTTGTTTTATTTGGCAAAATGTTAATTTGATTTGTGTTTATCTGACTTTGTTCATTATCATTCCCCCACTAAAAAAGGAAGAATTTATTATTATCTAGACACTATTTATATCAGGAGGTGAAATGCAGCTCTATACAAGCCAGGCATGCGGTGACATCACAAGTACACTTCTGTTTCAATTGACCAATATTTATACTTTGTGCTCCCGTTCTCACCAAGTCCAGACTTTCCTGTATTGTTCTAAGGAACATACTTGGCGAAGACACAAGTCCGTACTTGTGAATTGAGAAACAGGCTTTAAACTTTTGAAGTGAGTGTCAGAAACTCATGGTTACCATGGTTACAAACCCAAGTAAGAAATAAAAAATCCTGTCTTAAACCCAGAGTAACCTTAAGAATCCTTTATTTTTGCGTTTTCAAACAAAGAACAGGTCAGAAACCAGATCCTGAGGAGAATTAGCCTCTGGTTCCTGGAAGGTGAAATCTGAAGTTTGGTGATGATGGTGTCCCACAGGGCCTCCTTTGTGGTCCCTGGTGGATGAATGACTTTAGAGCCCAGATAGAAATCCCTGAGGTCATCCTCTTTGTTAGACTCCACCCAAAGCTTCACCTTCTCCAACCGGCAGGCAGAGAGCTCCACCATCACCACAAGCTCCTAGAGTGGAATCAGTTGACCTCTGAACTTTTGTGCTCAGTGATCTAAACCATACTAGAAATATTGTTCTGTAGGAGAAGCGGTTTAACAGAAACTAAATCGTCCCTTCCGGCATCACTGTTGGTCCGGACAGGACATCATGTTGAGATTTTCTATCTTTTTATTTCCTTTTTTATTTCCCTTTTTATTTCAAAACCCTAGGAGAATCCCTGTTAGAAAACTAAACAGCAGTTCTGATGGGTTGGGTATGGGAAATTATCTTTAAACACACTTAAATGACAGCAAGAAGTGTGTCGGTGCCATCACCTGCAGTGGAGTCATACCTGGACATGGAATGCAATACATCTGATTAAGTGATGAGTTTATGAATAAAACAGATTTTTGGAGTCCTGCAGACCTTAGTTGGAACCTTTTCAAAACTTTCAAAGACGTTCCAATCTGCTATGCTACCTCAGTGTTGAGCTGGTTATGGAGACCTGCTGTAGATGAACCCTTGAACTCCATGTCTTCAGACAGACATTGTTTTAATGCGTCATTGAGGTTTGGTACCAACTGTAAAGCCTTGACCCATCATGGACTGTGGAGTAAGACAGTCTTATTTGTCCACCAGGAGGTTGGGACATTGGTATGCTTTAATTCTAAGGCTATGCAGGGGCTGCAGGAAACTGGATTTAGGAAACTGTGGACAAAATCTTTCATCTTTCATCATTTCTTTGGTATTTCAGTTTTCTAATCTTACTGTAAGAATGTGTAACTTTGGCTCCTATTGTCCACAACTCCTTTAAAAGTTTTCTTTTTAATCTGAGTGTGATTTTCCTGGTTAAAACAAACCATAATCATGCATCTCTGCAGGTTTTATTGAAAGATCAAGTTGGTCTTCGTTATCCAAAGGGCCATGGATCAGAACCAAATGGCTGCCTCTTTTAAAACTTCCCGTACTTGTTTGATTACACAGTGGGTTCCTGCTAATTTGAAATGATTATAATTCTTTACATCAAGAATCATGTTAGAATAAAGAAAAAAGTGAGATGCTGTTTTGCCTTCATGTAGTAATTAGCAGCAC